AACCTTTGACCTCTCAAAGGTTTGAGATAACCAGGAGAATTTTATCTTACACTTTTGTGTGTTTATTAGTTTATAAATTTATAATTGATCATTGAAATGTGTAAATTAAAATAAAATGAAAGTATGGCTTGATTTGTTAGAAAATCTATTAGATCGATTTTGTGAGTTTTATGTCTTGTGATGTGAAAATTTTTTTAGGAACAATATTAGTAGATTTTCGTATTATATTATTGGGAGTTTAATGATTTTATGATTTGAGAAGTAACATGAATCTTTATTTATGAGAAGTTCAATGAAGTTTAACATAGTGGAGTTTAATGATTTTGGAAGTGTGAAGTACAATGATTGTAAAATTGGAATTCAATGACTTATTTAGTTTAAAGTTCCATGAAAATGTGTTTAAGTGTGAAGTACAATGATTGTGAAATTAGAATTCAATGACTTATTTAGTTTAAAGTTTCATAAAAATGTGTTTAAGAAGTTCAATGATTTGTGTAATGATGAAGTTTAATGAAATTGATAATGTGAAGTTCTATGAATTGTATAAAGTATGAATTATGGTATGAATGTGCATTGCATGATCTTGAAATGTGGGAGTTTGCCTAGAAAGAGGAATAGATGATAAAATCCACATGGTAAGGCCCATTCGTGAGATTGTTTGCCTGATTGATTATATCTATATTGTCCCACTTGTTCAATAAGGGATTATCTCACTGGTTCAATGAGGGACTCAAACTTAGCTAACTATCCACTGATTTAAGAGGAGGCTAGTTTAGGGTGTATGACATCCCATAATGTGAGAAATGGGGAAAACCGTGTTCCATAAGTGAGTTAGGTGCACCTTGACCGGGTAATCCCCTCATAAGTGTTTAGACTAGGGAAGTCATGGAATATTGACTACCCCATTATGTTATAGCCCACAATTTCATATTAGAGGAATAAGGAGGATATAAGGGAGGTGTGATCATGCATATAGTGAATAAGAGCACATGACTATCTGTATTGTGACCCTAATGAGAATATTCATGAATTGGGTGATAATTACTCCTGATTATATGTGATTATATGGTGTGACAAACTTTTTGGGATGTGAAGATTGTTGAAAAGTTTTATTTCCAAGTATGTACTATTATGCTTGAAAGTGTGAACATAGATTCTAAAATGTGTTACATGGTTTAAAGTATTGATATTATTTGCTAATTGCATTTCAACTAATTAATATACATTAGTATAGGCTAGTCGGACCTTGGTTACTGAGTAGTTGTACTCACCCCATTATCTTTAATATTATAGGGAATAGCTCAAGAGGTGTGGACAGAGGAAAACACCCAGAGGCTTAGGACCGCGATCCTTTTATAGTAGACCTTTTTATTTTGAGTAATTATATGTGTATGACAATTTCAATTTTCAATTAAGGATTCTCATTCGTTCCTTACTTGCATTATGTGAGTTGTAAATTGTAAGTTTATTTTGGGCCCTAAGGAGTGAGTTGATGAATATGTGTTATTGTGATAAAACCAAAATACTAATGCAAGTAAAAGTAGAACATATTATGGGATGATTTAGAGAACTTGATGAAAATTGTGGTAAACTCCCTCTTTTTATGTTTTTGACTTTAAGGGGTTGAGTAGTAAAAATTTGATCTGGGAGTATTTCATGTGATATGGTGTATTGCACGAGTTAGTCTTAATGATTTATATGTGGTCAAATTGGTGTCGATGGCTATTGGCCTTTGGCATTTGGTTTGGACACTTGATTTTGTGAAAATTATCGTAAAAGTGTAAATTTTGAAAAGTGTGTCCAATATTTGTTTTAGAAAGAATTTGAGTCTGAGACTAATGTCATTAGTTAGAGCTCAGAAACAGCTTTCTATAGACACCTAGTTCACGTCATTTAGACGTTGAACGGAGATTTGGGGTGTGTCGAAAATTACCCTAATGCTATCAAATTGATAGTAGAATTTACTGTCAAAATTCATGCAATTGTGCCTTGGCACATGGTGCCACAAGCCGCGGTACATATCACAAAGGCAAACATGCCATGACGTATGTTCAACGAGCCGTGACGCACGCCTCAAAATTTTTCAGCAAATTCTTAAACAAATACATTCACACAAGTAATAGTTCCATGCTTCTGCATATTTGTAAACTCTAGTTTGTCCAATTGCAAGACTTTAAAAATGATTTTAGTTTTGTAAACTTGGGGTCTCCATTTTGCTAACCATTTAAAAACTTTGTATTTTGATAATTACTATAATCTCATTCCCTAATTACTTAAGATTTGATTTTAATTATGGGATATTTAGGAGGAGGATATTATAATCCTCCTTGTTTATGGCCTCCCAGGAGGATAGCTAGATAAAGGCAATTGCAAGAAAGTTTGTGATAAATTATTTCAATGTTGCTGTATCAGGGTTTAGAGTGTCAAAAGTCTCAACTGAGATCATATTACTACCATAATTTTTTTCTTGACAAGTTAAATGATCCATTCTTCAACATATTGATATATATTACCATCTAAAAGCTTTATGAAAGCACATGCATGAAGACATGGTAGTCTAGACATTTGCCATGCCAGGTAAGAGCATTCACGCAATTTAAGATTTACCTGCACATCTCCATTTAATGTTTTCACCTTAACAGTGTTCAGCGCATAAAAATCTTCTTATAATGTATCACCTCTCAACACATTTTCCTCTAGCTTGATCTTCACATTTGGTCCAACTCCATTTGTCCATTTTTTTCAATGCCACTTTGCTATTGTGTAGCTTCTTTGCTAATTTCTCCCTATACTCATACATAAAAATAGCAATATTATACTTCCTTTCCTTGATAACTCAAGAATTGGAGGACATACACATAAGCAGTTCCTCTATTGTTTTCAAACAATTGTTCCACTCCAACATCATCAAGAAGATCCATGAATGTGCTTGAATCAATCTCAACTGTGAACTTTATGTCACTTTCATTATTATCATAGCAAACTTCTAATGATATAAATGATTTTAACTTTGTATATTTCATTTATTTTGTTATGGTTCTTGCAATTACATTTTCACCCTCATACTTCATACCACTATCAACACTCCTCACAAATTCACCACTATAATGAAAGAAACAAAACAATTTTTTTCTAGAACTACTTTTCATCTCTCATATTAACCTGCAATAAACAAATTAATCTAGGTAAATGTCCACATATAGAAGCCCAACTTTTATTTTATATAACTTAAAGTTTAACATAAATAACTCAAAGTTCATTTTCGCCCAATAGATACTCCAACATATTTGACAACAATTTTCTTCACACTAGAAGTCATATTGTATTCAATTCACATGTCAAAAGTCAATATGAACAAGTTAACCATTACAACAACTAATTCACTCTAAAACTTTTACAACCAACTTTTAGCAACCTTTAGCTTATATCAGTAGGTAAGGCTTTCTTAACAAATTGTACAAGTAGGCAAATAATATATAATATAATATCCACTATGCACAACATAAGGTTCATATATTTTCACCTGAAAGTTGATGTCATTCTAATTTATCATTAGGCCAGGCTTAACAAAAGGAATGCTCAAGTTGGGCAAATATGGCACAATATAATATTCACTTTGCACAATACAAAATTCATATATTCTCACCTAAAAGTCATATGATTCTAATTTATCATTAGACTAGGCTTAATGTAATGCACAACTCAACATTCAACAAAAACAACTCAAAGTTCATTTTTGCATAACAAATGTTCTAACATTTCTAATAGAAAAATTTTTTCATATTGGATCATATTTTATTCAGTTCACATGTAAAAGTTCAACATAAACAAGTTAACCATCATTATTGCACAATAACTAATCCACTCTAAAACTTTTATGGCCAAAATAGTTCAGCAACCTTTACTTCATATCAGTAGTAGAATCATAAATAAAATTTCAATTTCAACAACATCACATTTCATTTTGTATAACAAAAAGTCCATCTCATATGCATTCTATTACCTCATGTAAAACCCCCATTAAATGAACTACTATATATTAAGTGAGTGAAGATCATCTCTGTTGCCACTTTACCAGCAATTGACATGCAGCAATGACAAACCTTAAATATTTTCTACCCTTAAATTATTTCTACAGCAAAAACAGATGCCTCTCATTTCTACAGCAAGAATAGTAAAAATCTCAGTTCATTTCTACAGCAAAAATGTGAGAAACCTGAAAACCTTTAGCTGAGATCTTGAATCATCAGAAGCATTACTTAAAATGGAGGGATTTTGAATTCTACACGCCTCGAAAGTTACTCCTCCTCATTAGAGATCAAAAACCTTCCCATCCTTCAACTGAATACCCATTCGTGCATCTGTCATCCTTTTTCTGCATTCAATTTCATTTCTTTCCATTAAGGGCAAAATAGTGTTTTTGGTATAAAGAAATATTGCAATTAGAGCCGTAAGGCCTGTAAAGAAAAATCAAATTCATTTAGCCTTTAAGTGCAATAAAGTCTGTTTTTAGGGCCCTTAATTCCATTCCCCCTAAAATATTATACAAACATTTTAAATTTATGAAAGTCAAAAATATGAATGATATCATAATATAGACTTCCTCTTTTAAAAAAATGTAAGACATTTTTAACCATATTTTACCCTCAATAAAGTAGTTACTTTTCTTTAAACTAATCTTATCTTTTTATATTTACATCTATTTAATATATTATTTTATCCTAAAAAAATATAAAGTGCTTTATCAATAAGGGCACTTGAGAAAATAAAGATAATAATTACACGTGAAAAGATTAAAAATATTTTATATTTTTTAAAATACAATCTCTTAAAAAATACCTTATATTTTTTAACGGAGGAAGTACTACTGATATAATTTTGAAAACTACCTTGATTGTTTAAGCAAGTCATATTCATGTTATATCAAACTCCCCATTTAAAAATCAACTGAAATAATTGTAAGTGAGAGGGACTGCCATCACTTAATATGTACTATGTAGTAACTTAATTAAGAAGTGTCTATTATTTACCCCAATACCCTAGACAGATTAGACCCTGCCCTCTAGAGAGGTCTGAAGTTGGTATAACCCATTAAACTATTTTAACTATTACCAATAGTCTTTACAAGAGCATTGGCCGTCTTTAAAACAATGAAAACGATTATTATCTCTGACTATAATTTCTCTACCCACAATTCTTGAAATGAACTTGATGGCCCTATGACAATCTCCACATATCCTGAGATTTTTTGTGATACGTATAGGTACTCCTGGGGGCAGAGCTATGAGTCCAAAGGCGAGAGCAATCTTTTCACTGTGGTACCACACTTCTAAATCCTTTTCTTCTTCTTCTAAATCAAAGAGTGATAAATTCGTATCAGGTGCATATCCTGCTTCCTTCATCTCCCTTCTAAGCTTAGCTAACATCGCCTGAATCTCGTCATTCCTTTCATGAACTTTATCCTTTTTGGCCCGAAATACATGAACCCGGTTCTTCACAGTGATCCAACTATAACCAGCACCCTTTTTTATACCAACATCTTTCATTTCCTTCCTGACAAGCGTGGCTTCTTCCCACCTGCATAAATCAGTTACCAGTTTAGGTTTCAAATGAATGACCCCACATTTGTCATCAAATGTTTAAGAATAAAGAAAAAAAAAATTAAGAGAAAATATCACCTGTTTTTAGTCTCTATAATTTATTTTCATGGTTTCTCACCCCTTCGGTTTACTTTACTCTGAAAATTGTTTTTCCCCCCTTACCAACAGTCAGAAACTTTAGTCATTTTATTTTGAAAAATATTCAGAAGGACTATGAGTTGGCCCAAACAGTGTTAATTTTGCTGAGGTCCAATGTCCTTATCCTTCCCTAATGCCCTTCTTCCTCTCACTCACACTAGTCATTTTAAGGAAGTGAGACTCCTTTTCCTTTTTTAATTATACCAAATTTTTAATCAGACAATTTTATAATTTTTCACAAGTCAATATGTTTTTTTCCTAGTCAAGTACTCGGTTTAACGATGCTACCTAAGCAAAATTAACACCGTTTGGGCTCTCTGATGGTCCTTCTGAGTGTTTTTCAAGATACATGGACTAACATTTCAGGTGGAGCAAATAGAAGGGATAGAAAACCATGAAAATAAGCCGTGGGGACTGTAAACAAAACATGAATAAAGCATAAAGCTTTGGAATGGTATTCCCTCCCCCCCAAAAAAAAAAAACTAACTGCCGCGCTAGCCAGCAAGTGAAATATTATTCACCGATGTGAAAATGTTACCTTCCAGCAGCAGCAAGCATGTTAGAAAGCACCACGTGGTTGCCTGAGTCTTGGGGATCAAGCTTAAATAAGTTATCAGCAGCAATTTTTCCTAACTCTGGCTTCCTGTGCACCTTGCAAGCCCCCAGTAAAGCTCCCCAGACCGAAATAGTAGGAGGAATTGGCATGTTCTTTATAAACTCATATGCACGTTCAACCAATCCAGATCGTCCTAACAGGTCTACAATACATGCATAATGCTCTGCACCTGCTTCAATTCCAAAGTTTTCTCTCATTGACCCAAAAATCCTCATCCCTCTCCTGACTGCTCCAGCCCTACTACATGCTGATAATACAGAAACCAGTGTCAAATAACTTGGAACCATCCCGGACTGACCTGATGCCATCTCCTCAAATATAGCCAATGCCATGTCAGCATTACCTTGGTGTGCATATCCACTTATCATTGCATTCCAAGTGACCAGATTCCTGTCAGGCATTTCATTAAAGACTTGTTCTGCACCCACTATACTTCCGCATTTTCCATACAAGTCAACAAGTGCACTACCAACAAAAATATTCTCCTCAACACATGCTTTCACAGCAAGCGCATGAAGTGACCTGCCCAATTCCAGTCCTCCAAGCTCAGCACAAGCACTAAGTACGCTCGATACCATGAAGTCTGTTGGCTCAACTCCTTCTTTCCTTGCCTGCTGGAATACTAAGCAGGCCCTCTCTTCATTATGGTTTTGCACAAAAGTAGCAAGCATAGAGCACCAAGAAACATCATTCCGCAAGACAATTCTATCAAAAACCATTTCAGCAGATAATAGATCCTGACATTTTCCATAAAAATCAATAAGCCCATTTGAGACAGATACATCCTCCCCATATCCACTACGGATTATAAAGGCATGTAATTGACGTCCAACCTCCAAATTTTGTGTGTGAGAACATGCATTTAGAAATGCACAAAATGTTATAGAATTAGGCTCCCCATCCACACACAGTAACTTCTTAAATGCATCAAACGCATCTTGAGACCGGTTGTCTAGCACTGCATTAGAAATATAAGCATTCCATGTGGCTATGTTTTTTTCAGGCATTTCATCAAATATCTTACGAGCTTCATCTCTAAGACCCGTTTTGCTGTACATGTCAAAGGCACTGCATCCGACAAAAACATCACATATTTGACCAGCTTTCACTGCAAGGGCGTGAACTTGTTTTCCACTAAAGGGCATATGCAGTGAAGCTGAGGCTTTAAATACACATGGGAAAGTGAAGTCATTTGGCTGAATAGACTCATGGCGCATATTAGAGAAGCAGAGGAGAGCAGCAGCAAAACGACCATTTTGGACACAACCAGAAATGAGGGAGGTCCAAGTAACAACAGTACGAGCATGTGTGAGTGAGAGAACACATAGTGCCAAGTTAAAATGGTCAAGTTTGGAGTACATGTTGACAAGATAGTTGCAGAGAAATGAAGGGAGTGGGTTATCTAAGGTCTTGATGATCTGCGCATGGACAGAACGACCAAGTAAAGAAGACTTTGTTGAAACAGCAAAATTGATTAAAGAACCCAAAAGGTTGGAATGTTGCGAGTACATTATGGTGGTAATGACAAGACTAGATAGAAGCTTTTTCAGGTCTATTTGTTTGCAAAGAGTCACCTGAATTGCTCAAGTAGCAGAACATAGAAAGCTTTAATTTCTCGACATTCAACTTCCCTTCCCCTAAAAATAGACTTCCAATTGTCTACACAGTGGCCCACTGTGCAGACTCTGCACATAACTCTAATTTTATAATCACCATATCCATCCAGCATTGCTTTTCATTAAAACCAGAAAGCTATTGACAGAACAGAAAATCCAGGCATATATCATTTGTAATTTCAATATCACTTGTACAGGAGGTTCAGGCTCAGAATCTATCTTCATGTTCCAGCAAAACATAGGAGGATTGGCACCTGTAATTACGATGGATAGGAGTCAGTAACTAGTAGTCATGGTCTGTGATAGGTCACTGGGAATATCTTGACAGCATCAAACATAATTAGAGTGCCAACCACTTTTTTAATCATTTAAGCACAAACTGTTGAATTATATCCAATGGTAGCACAGTTCGTTTTCTTTCCACAAACCAACCTGTTTGCTGTTTCTAAACAAAGGTATTTAATATCATTCAACAACTAAACCATACGGAAGAGATTAAGACAAAGATTGATCCTTTCAATATCATGAAACTCGCATTCAATTCATTGAAAATGCCACCAAAACCAAATAAAATGAACTAAAACTCAGAGTGATTATAATATCAGCCAAATTCAAATTGCTAGAAATTTAAAATTCACGACACTATACCTTTGACTTCAAGATGATCTTCACTTCTACAAAAATGCCCCATTGCAGAGAATGTATGACCAAAGGCCCACTTCTTTCCCTAACTGTCCAAAAAGCCAAAGCACTTGTGCTGCTCGTACCCTACTTGGAACGTCACTTCATGAAGACTTTGTTTTGCTTCACCGGCAATGCTCTGTCATGTCTCTGGAACCATAATTCACAGCTGAAGAAAGACCTGGATGAGCATCGCTATGAGCCTCACGGCAGTTTGTTGACTAGGTTCTCTTCAATGGCAGTCTTCGATGGCACTGTGACAGTTCGATTTCTTTCTCAGTGTCTCTTCCAAAATGTAGAATCAACAAGCATGCCTGAAATATAAACAAATTTACATTATATATCCAACAAAGAGCACAGCAGACAGATTACTTGCCAAAACAAAGAGCTTTACGTATATGTATTTGCTTAATTTGCAGAATTACTGCTTTTTTGCGGACACCATTGTATTCCATGATATATAATCCCTCTCAGGCATTTTATCGAATAGTCTCCTTGCTTGAGTATCTTCCCTAATTTAACACACCCAGAAAGCTTACTATTCCAAGAGCACAGACTTCTCACCTCCATTTTATCAAACACCTTGCGTGCTTGTACGTGACGACCGCACCTGAAGTGCATGCATATTGAATATCAAATAGTTAGCTAAAAAAGTTGTGGGGCGATTTAGACCGGTGAGCTTGAGATGAAGATAAACAAATTTACTTTGTCTCCGTACACTGCTGAAAGAGATGATCAAGAATGCGGGAGGCTAAGCGAACGCCGCGGATTAGTAAGAGGTCCAAATATGAAGGCCTTTTAACAGTGTGGTGTGTGGACTTAGGATGCGCACCGTGGTGCTCAGCACCAAACACTGCGGTGTGGTTGGCAGTGTTTTTTCTTCTTTTACTTTTTTTTAAATCACAAATTTATTATAATGATAAATAATTATTATAAAATTATTATTTTAATATTTAATAAACTAATAAATATTAAGATGTTAAAATTAAACCTCAATAGTTTGAATAAAAATTTTGGTCTGAACATTAAAAACTGTATTAAAAAAATAAAACATGATTTGAATAATTTAAAATAAGAGTTGAATCTAATAAAATGAGCCAGTTTCTTATACTATAATAAATTAATATTTGAATTCCTATTAAGAGAAGTACCTATATTTAATACCTGATTATGTCTCGAATGATATTATCTCTCATAAATAAACAACTATGCAAAATCAATAAAATAAAAAAATATTTTTATTTATAATTTTAATTTTTTTAATACAGTTCTGAATTGTTCAGATCAAAATTTATATATGAATTGTTCAAATTAAATTTAACAAGTTAATCTGTTCATATTTAATTTTAATATCTTAATATTTATTTATTTATTAAATATATAAATATAATTTTATAATATTTATTTATTACTAGTATAATAAATTTGTGCTTTAAAAAAGTTAAAAAAAGAAAACACTGCCAAATGGTAGTATTTTGGTGCTGAGCACCACGATCTTAGGATGAGCACCAAAACCAATTCCTTAATAATGTAGATATTGGCGAGACGGTCGTATAATGGGACTTGAATCTCGTAAGAACAATAATTTTTGTGTTCTGTTGTCAATCAGTGAGTATAGTTGAAAATACGGGCGAGCCGATCCTTAAGGGTCTAGGTCCTTAAGCCGGTTATCCATCTTTAATATCTTTTTTTGAGGTTCGACCCTTGTGTAAAGGGTTCAGAGTTGGGCCTAGAAGACTTATTAAAAAAAATTAAATTAAATTAAATATTATAAATTAATTAAAATATTTTAAAATTAAAATACACACAATATTTAAAAAATTAATAACATATTTAGAAATCTAAATAACACACATTCATCAATCAAAACCCAAATCCTCCTCATCCTCATTATCTACAAATAAAACATTAGATTTCTCGAATGTAAGTGTACTTGTTCAAAATGAAGGTGAAAATTCAATGTCAATTACCTTTACAACTTCCTTTTCATCACTTACAATAAATATTAATCAAATTGTGTCATTATCAATCAATATATATATATATGTGTGTGTGTGTGTGTATAAAATAATCAGGCTTATTCGGACTTGAAGAGTCACCCGGGCCTGAGCTCTTTTTTACAGGGCTTATCAGGACCAGGCCCTCAATTCCGATTCCTTTAAAAAAATTAATTTTTAAAATCTAAATTTTTATTTAAACAGGACCCACAACCTTGACCTATATTCCTGACTTTACCTGTGAAGTGGGAAGGTGGGAAATAGCGCTGCAGACAAAAACAACGTGAACCTCGTAAGACAATAATTTTTGTGAGAAAATAACAAATAAATCCCAACAAATGACAAATAAGTATCATTTTCCCTAATTGTTTTAATTGTTTTTTAAATGGTTAAATCACTTATTTATCCTGAATTTTTTTTTTTTTCCTGCTGAATGTTCTGAACTTTTACTTAGTGCATTTTTATCCTGAAATTATTAAAAAAAAGTGCTTTTTTGCCCAGCCGGACCCTTAGTTGACCTTCAGTCTGACTTATCTGCTAGGTTGGCAGCCATGTGGCATTCTAAAAAAAGTAGATCCAGCGCAAGCACCTCGCCTCAGTCTTCTGGTTCTTGATACAATTTCTTGGGTTCATATAATCTAACATGATCATCTATTAAATATATAATGAATCCTGGTCCAGGAAGAATTCCATTGCCATTGGATTTGGGCAGTGAGAATAAGCTTGGTTTTAGGGGCAACCAGAGGATTCGTTCGGATTCATGCTGAATATAGTTCAGTAAAAATACCTCATGGCAACATCAAATCTTTCAATGTTGTATCTCTATCATTGGCTTTTCTCTGCTATTGAACCTGTTCATGCAATCACAAGATTGGGAGGATACAGCGCTCCCGAGCAAGAAGAAAGCAAGAAGCTGTCGAGTGCTTTGAATTAGGTAAGAATGCCTGAATCTAAAGGTGCGCCGAACGAAAGAAATAGCAAGAAAATTATGCAACCTTCTATTGTTTCTAAATAAAATGAAAACTTGGCAAACACTCAGAGAAAATCGATTCTGTTAATGAAATTAGAAAGTTAATGTAGCGAAAGCATAGCAAATTCAAGGTGGTCCATAACGGGATGACAAGATTTTTCAGAATGGAAGAAAGAACCTGTGAAAAGAAACAGCAAGGAAATTCAGCTTTTGGTCCAAGAAAAGGCTTGAAATAGAACAAAATTAAGCTACTTACGAAGATAGTGGCATGGACGAGCTTCTAGCTGTGATTAGCTACAAGGTGAGGTCGTCGAACATGGAGAATGTTGCCCAGAAGCTCGAACAGCTTGAAGAAGCTATGGGTAATGCTCAGGGCGGTATCTCTTAGCTCTCCTCCTAGGCTGATGATTCCTCTTACTTGGCTCTGGCGAACCTTAAATCAAATTGGCATCTCCTTTCTCCTCATACCTCCTCCTTACCTCTAATCAAATCGGCTCGTCCTTTCTCCTCCGACCTTCAACACTTCACGTTCTCTTCGAAATTGAGAACAGATTACGGCGCCTTATTCCTTCCTCCATACCAAAATGAAGCTTCGAAGCTAAGAGAGAGGTGAAGACGTATTATTTCTACTGTGGGTGCTTTCTGGGCGAAGATGAAGCAGATAGAGAAAGGTGGAGGGCGAGGAGAGAAAACGGATGAGGAGGAGATTAGAAGCATGGAAAAAGGAAGTGGGGATGAGTAGAGTAGCGTCGAACAAGCTCCAGGGGTAATTTTTTTTTTTTAAATGCCACGTGGCAGCCAAGTCACAGTTTGAAGTCAAATTGACGGTCCATTGGCGAAAAAAGCTCCCTTTTTTATAGTTTCAAAATAAATGTTTCAAATAAAAATTCAGCATACCCAACATTTATGAAAAAAAATTTTAAACATTTTTTCACCCTTTTTAAAATTATAGTCAGGATTCAAGGACTTGAAATGTAGCATATGGAAGGGAAAAAAATAGCTTAATATTTAGCATCCAAAAATAAATAAAATAAATAAAATACGAAAAATAACAATCAAAATAAAGTAAAAATGACAATAATTTAAGTTTTAAGAATAAAAATTAAATGAATACATCAGTTCAAAGATATTATATGTTAAAATTCTCATGAGTTATATTATATTTCATTCTTTTGAGTTCAACAAAAAAAAATTTATGTGTGATAAATATTACTCCTCTGTTTAAAAATATAAGATATTTTTTCAGGGTTAAATTTCAAAAATTTAAAATATTTTTAGTCTTTTTCAAAGTAGAATCATTATTTTTTAAAGTACCATATTAAATAAATTATTTTATATTTTTTTTAAGGTGAAACAACTATTAAATAGAGAGATAAATTGAAAAGATATAGTTGGTTTGAAGACAAGTAACTATTTTATTAATGATAAGATTTAATTAAAAATATCTTATATTTTGTATGGAGGGAGCATTTTCTGATTCCCTGATTACAATAATGGAGCACATCTTTTTACTAGTAAACAGTTACTCTCTTTACATATGTGTGCTATCAAAGCAAGGACTTAAGGTGAGATTTACTTCTTTAACTTAATATAATTTTATTTACTCTTTTATTTTTATAAAGCACTCTTTCATTTTTTTTAATTAATATTGTTAATTTTATCAAAAAATTCATACATTGAACTTTTATATATTAATAAAATATTTTCAAATATTAATATATTAATTTAATTTTTTAAATAATAATTATTGATATAAAAATCAATCATTTGAAACTAGTTGCGTTGTGATTAAAGGATTGAAAATATATTTTATAAAATTAAAGAATCAAATTGAAACATTTTACTAACACTATCTTTTAATGTTTATCCTTATTTAATAAAATAATCACTTAAAAGTGAAGAGTTAAGTGGCTTGTTTATTAAGGGTATTTTTAAAAAACAACGTACATTAATTATATAGTAAAAACTCAAATACATTATATTTTTGAATGGGAGGAATATAAAATTAGAATAGTAAATGTACTCCCAAATCCCCTTAGGGGGCCACGATTCTCCTCTTCTCTCTTCCCATCATCTCTCCTCTTCTCTTGCTAAGTTCAAACCATTAGATAAAGATATGGATTGTTCAAATTTGATTTCTTATAAAATATTTCATTTCATTTTTGTGTTTTACTGTGTTTTGTTGTTGTCCATGTTAAAATTTGCCATTTGAATTTTATTATTTATATTATTTTATAATTTAAGATGTTTAATAATAATTTTATGTGATCAAATTTAAATCATCTAGATTTAATCTAATAAGTAAGAAAGTGAAAAGAATGAAAGATGGTGGAAAAGGAAGAGGATCCTCTTACTTTAGGCTTTTATTAAATCCACAGGCCTATAAAAGCTACAGCTGCATCGGATGGCTTAGTGCGGCTCCCTATGAATTGGAAGCATAATTCCCCATGAATAATTTTAAAATCTTAATTAATTTTAACATCTTAGTAAAAATTCCTTTCAAGTCTAATTGTTTTTGATTTAATTTTTTCATTATAATAATGTAACACATGTACCATATATGTAGATTTTGAAATCATTCAAGAATCATGAGTTTTATTTTGGAATAATTAATTTAAAGATGATTTTCAAATTAATTATCACTATCATTTAGATTTACAAATTTTGTCAAAATAATCAGTAAATTTTCATTGATGACATCAATTATCAATTATGACGAAGCATTTAAAATCAGTAAATATTAGCAGTCAATAATGGGCGCTTCGGTAAGAACTGTAGGAAGCATGTAAAATTTAAAACTATATTGACAGAATTGACAGCATATGTCAGCTAATTAGAATCAAATGATTCAAAGTTCAAACTTCACCTCCAGTTCAACATCACGACATTTTCTTTGCTATAACAAAAAGACTTTCGGAGTTTATTCTTCTCATTGCTGGGGAGCGCACACATAAGTTCAAACTACAGCAGAGGGCATAGTTATGCATACTGAATTATTCATTGTTACCCACAAGACACACGCACGCACGCACATGGCAAGGTTTAAAAACTGAAGCTCATCCATGTCTAATTTGAGAAAGACAGTGCTCAATTCTACTTTAAGGAGTTCTCAATATCTATCACGACCTATACTTCACATCCTTATTTATTACCCTCTGAAGAGCTTCATTTATGTAATCAATTGGAATCACTTCTATGTTTGGGTAAATTTTATTTGCAGCACAGAAATCAATCATCTCCTGTGTCTCTTTTGTACCACCTGTAATACTTCCGGAGATGGATCTCATACCTGTCAAAAAGTTTATGCATTTATAGTCCCATCACTTCAAGTTCAAACTACCAAGCTAAACAAAGTATAAAACGGTGGATTGAATTTACAACAAATTTTCAAAACATAAAAGTTAACATACCTAGATTAAGGCTTGCAGGGCTAAATTTAACCTCACTTGGGAACCCAACAAGGACTAGGACCCCGGCGGTCTTCAAAAGTGACATATAAGGATCAACGGGTGATCACCAGAGGCCGTGTCTATTATGAAGTCCAAAGACTTGGGCCAATGCCTGTGTAGGAATCACCATCAATTTTGACAGGAAAATTAAAGGCACAAGTCTACAATCTAATTGATGCCTTAAATGTCTGATGCTTAGTTGCTTACCCTCATCTGCTCTTGGTCAGAGGAGACAACAAAGTTGTCAGCACCAAGCAGACTATAGGCCTCCTCTTTTTTGGATGCACTTGAGCTGAAAATTGTTACATTCAACCAAATGCCTTCCCAAACTTCGCGGCCATATGACCAAGGCCACCGAGGCAATCACTCCTAGGGACTTACCAGGTTGATTCATCTTGTGGCGCATCATGGGAGAATAGACAGTAATACCAGCACAAAGCAAAGGAGCTGCAGAGCCAATGGATAACTCTTGGGTATCATGAAGCAATACCTGAAATTCAAGATCAAATATAAAATGACTGGTACAATAACCTCTGCCGATAGGAAGTCAGATGACATGTTTCAAAACTGAGGCAACAAATCAGATATCTCTATAAAGGCAGTCAGATCAAGAAAAATGACACTGAAATCCGTAACAGTGGATACATAAATAGCATATGATAAGTTTACCTTTCATGGACTACTATGTTACTGGAGTATCCTCCTTTTGTGATTGTGCCATCAACATCAACCCAATTAAAAGTTGAAACCGATCCCTTCATACAATGAACTTCTAATCCATCATTACAATATTGGCAGTCCTGGCATGAATTCACATAAGTTCCTACTCCAACATGATCACCAACATTGAAACGATTGACGCTGGAACCAATCTTTTGTACAATTCCAGCAATCTCATGTCTGATATGCAAATAACACATACACGTTAGTTTAAAAGGACAGGATAATCATACTTCAAAAGAAGTCAACTCACCCAGGTACCAAAGGATATTTTGAGTCGCCAAGTTTATTCCTAGTCCAAATTACATCAGCATAACAAACTCCACAATGCGTGATTTTTATAAAAACATCGTCATTCCCAAGAGTCCTGAACAATCAACATGTCATATGATCAAGCAATCAACACTTGATGGCAAATCCAATGTGATATGAAAAAATAAACAGTGAAAAGACATACTTTCTCAGTTGAACAAACTACTCCACACACTAAAAGTAAAACCGTAATAATGATAACACAACAATCCAGCCGTACTCAATAAAGTAGGGTACAATGTGCATGCCTGCGACTGAATTTGTATGGGGAGAAACTCCAGATGCATCTCTTGCTGCCCATCCTAGGCAATCTGTACCAGCATCTTTGGAACTCATATTCTTTCTGCAGCACAAATACCATCAATCAGTTACCAGTTTCCTCTCCATGTTTAGATGAAACTAACAAAATAAAGGTATCCATGTACTTCTAAGTCATCCTCTTCCAACAAATCAGAATTCTTAATGAAGATTGGCATTCTAGAGAAGGTAATATTCCATCTGGTCCTTTTTATAAGTCACTTTTAGCATGTTTCATCACGACACCGAACCAAGGAAAATCTTAAACCTATTAAGTTTGTCTTAAAATTTAACAAGTTTTCACCTCGACCTCCAATAAATATTCTTAAATCTCATTACTGGTATTTTTATTCAAAGCATTTAATAAGGATAAAAATGTAAAGAAGAGCCTTGAAAATTGAGAAGTGCCCTCCCTATAAATAGGACCAAATTTTTTCTTCTCTCTCTGCCTTATAAATAGAACTAGAGAAGTACTAATTAAGCAAATCCCACAATGATTGCTCCTTCATGTCAATCTGTACTGTACCTTACTTAGAATTAATTTTATATCTACAGGCTTTCCGTATTTATGAAATTTCTTAGTTTAGGCTTGTGGTATAAAAGCCCCTGGTTTTGGCAAAATAGAAAGCTAGTTTAGATTATCAGACCCGTACAGTTGATTTGTTTAGTGGATCCCCCCCCCCCCGGGTTCAAGTTTTTTTATAAAGATTAAGGAATTGCCTCACCAAGGTCTAAGCAGGTTGGAATAGATCTTATGTGTTATGTAGAACATTAATAATATGTTGAAAAGCAGGTTATTACAGAAGAATGAGGTTTGACCCTTAATAATATCTGGCCAGAAATGCTCTGTTCTGCCAAAAAGTTTGTAGCTAGAAGCAATATAAGGAATCTTATGCACCTTGGACAACAAATACCCAACTAATTTAAGGAGCAATAGGTTACAGTTTCTCTTGATGATACTATTATTCTACATGGTGGTGGGGATAAGAAGCTCATTGACGATAGATGTGAGCAGGTATGATGGCTCATAAAGTGTTGTTTTCTTTAAACAGTGTGAGATTTTTACTTGTGCTTTCACCTAAATGATCTTATATATATATATATATATATTTGTTACTTGCATCGCTAAATAATTGAAGTGTTGCTAATTAATTGAAGTTACAAGGCTTAGGTATATCTACCATAAGCAGAAGTGACGCTATCTGATGGCAGTAAAAATATCACCTACAAATGGTTCTTAATATATGGTCTTCCAGATTTAAATGTTCCCTCTTTGATTTGATATATACTTCATTTCCTCTTCATAACTTGAAGATGCCCACTTTTTTTTTTTTTGGGCCGTTCACTTCATGATGTTTAAATTATGAATGTCATTTTATAGCTCAGGGAAGCAATTGAAAAGAGCTCTGCCACATTTGATAAAGAGAAAGCACAGGAACGACTATCAAAGCTAACTGGTGGTGTAGCTATTTTCAGGTTTGTCACATAGCCTTATAAATTCTGTTATGATAAACATGTTTACTTTTTCTCACTTGGAAGTGAAACCAAACTTTCTCAGGCTGGAGGATCTAGTGAAGCAGAAGTTGGGGAAAGGAAAGATAGGGTGACTGATGCTTTAAATGCTACAAGAGCAGCTGTGGAGGAGAAAATTGTGCCAGGTGATTCCTTTTTGTTTCTTGCTGTTTGATTGAAAATTAGGAAGAGAGAGCCAAGTAGCATATGCTATTTGTTCTTGTTCACTTTCTTAAAATATTTTCCCATTTATTTTGGTTAAAATACATTTTTTTAATCAGGTGGTAGAGTTGCTCTCTTATATGCCAGTAAAATTTTGGACAACCTTCAGACCCAAAATGAGGATGAGAAAAGAGGAGTAAAGATAATTCAGAATGCACTTAAGGTTGTTTCTTTGGCTAAGCAATTCCTCTTTGGGGCATTCTAGATTAAATCATTTCTAGTGAATCATATTGGTCACTGCAGGCACCTGCATTCACAATAGCTTCTAATGCTAGTTTTGATGGTGCTTTAGTTTCTGGGAAATTGTTGGAACAAGAAGATGATAAGTTTGGTTTTTATGCTCCTAAAGGTTTGTATTCTCACTTGTTTCAAATGTGAAACCCTATTATGGTTATAACTTTCTCCTGTTAGCATTCTGTGTAACCATTTTCAGAATCAAGAGACATCTTGCTCAATTGGAACAAGTGAGAGTAAAAGGTAGTAAAAGGTCTTTGAGAAGGTAAGCTAAGGGAAGAAGAGCGAATCAAACAAACTAAAAAATGCATACATGGATTACAAGCTTATACACAAATGCATACATATATATTACCTCACTCAAATTGGATATATACATATATAACTTAATATTCCAACAACTAACCTTTACCATTGAGTAACACAGACATTCAAGATATTTCTAATTATAAATTTATATTTATTAAAAGAAGTTATTTTAATTGATCAGATACCATGAAAGACTACTCATGTTTCTTCAACATCTACTTATTAACCTCAAATTTATATATTCATCAAACAGGAAAATAAGGTTGCTTCATGAATTGAGGAACAAGGAAACAAAACAAGAATCAGTTTAGCAAATGCTCAGTTTGGCAGCTCCAGTAGAATTTACTGTCAAATCTCTGTCCAATTTTCTTCTTTTAAAAATTGTATATTTCCATCTTGTTTGATTTTCTACTGGGCACAAGTAGGCACTTGTCCTTTCTGTTTTTAAAGGAATTCAAAAGCATGCAGACATCCTTTTCTTGGGACCAGGCACACACACTTCCTAATTAAGTATTTTGCTCTCTCTGTTAAGCATTTACCAATAAGCAGCATTACAGAGAGGAAGAGAGGCAAGATAATATGATTAAGCGATCAAACTACAACTACGGATAATTTAAACCTCAGAATGAACACTAATCTAATCAAAAGCTACAGAGGAATATGACGGGTTTGTTGTTTTAAGCAATTCTCATGTGATTGATGCTCTGCTATATCATCAAGTTCTGAACATCATATCTTTTTCTCTTCCCACTTACATGGTCCCTGAAAATCCATCGACAACTCTTCAACGCTCATATATCTACAAGCTCGGACTCAGATGCTTACTTTACCTCACCAGAAATTCCACATAAAAAAAAAAATATGGATATGGACGAACCTAGGATGAACCGTACGGAGCATCAAGCATGAAAGGAAAAACAGGGCAGTCTTCAACATTACCTCACGGCGAAGACGATCAGGAGGACAGGTTTGACGATGTGTATCTCCGCAAGGGGGTTGAGGAATGGAGGAAGAGAGAGAGCCGAAGACAAGTGCGGTGAAGGACGACTGAAGGGTCGACGTCTCGAGCAGCGGCAATGGAGAAAGAGAGGGCGGCAGCGAGGATGAGGAAGTTAGATTCAGAAATTTGAGACGTGAGGATGAGGATGAGGATGAGGGTGAGCGATGATCTGGAGTCAATTAAAGTTAACAACACTAACTTGTTTAACCACAATTGGCCTCCGAAAAATTTGTGGCTTACCTTCCCCCACATCCTTAGGCTATGAATGTGATGCGACGACGAACAGTTTCTAGACACAATGGTACTGCCCGTGTTAGCTGAAGTATGGCCCAAGAAAATGAGATGGACGGAGGGAATGGGTGGGAGAGTTTTCCTCTGTAAGGCGGGAAGGTTGTTCCTCTGTTGGTCATGCGATCTTCCTTCTTCGGTGCTTTTCATCTTCTTCTCGTGCTTCTTCGTTTCCCAAGGCTAACGGAAAAAAAAAACACAGAGAAGAGTAAAGCTGTGCAAAAAATCCTTTCATCCTTTTCGGTCCAATTCAATCTCGCACAACTCAATCCTATTTAATTTAGATAAAAACTAACCTTTTAAAATTAAAAAGATTAAATTATTGTGAGATTAAATTAGAGAAGAGATTGAGAATTTAGACCACTTCCCAATCCTATAAATTTATAATATAATAATAATTATTATAAGTTAATTTATAATAATAATTAATAATTTTTTGTGTTTTATATTTGTGAAGTCATAAATATTAAATAAAATTTTAGCATTGACCAATCTCAATCTTCTCCTTTTATTATTAAAATTTATTTGTTAATTTGATGTAATAAACTTTAAACATGTTGAAGGTTATTTAATTTAAATAATTTATATTATAATTAAAATATTTTTTTTGGTGGTGTTGGAAATTATTATGAATTTATAATTGTTGTTGCGATAATTTTTTATAATTATAAGTAATTGTATTATGTTAATCAAATTTATTAGGTTGAAATAAATTGATGCCATAGATGAAAAAAGAAAAAAAAACAAAGTGAGATACTAGAGAAGACGGGAACCAATCTTCTAATCCTACTAAACTAGTGTAATCTTGTTTAATTTTGTGTTATACTAGAATCTGATTAGATCACATATTGTCTAATTCAGTCCTTTTCATAAAAAAGATCAAACTTTAAATTAGGCCGAAATCCTATCCAACTCATTTTTATGCAGCCTTATAAAGCATGTATTAATTATTTATTACAATTTACAAGTGAACGAACTATAATGCCATTATCATAAGTTCTGGCACGAAGAGGTGTAATGAGTTACCTATGCTCTACATAATAAAATATTATCAATTTAATTAAATAAAATTTTATATATCATTATTTTTTAAAAAAATTAATCTTGCAATTCTTATAATTTTCTTGAATTTCAAAGTAGGTCCCTATATATTTTTTTTTTTCAAATCCTTAAGTGTGTTTTGTGAGATCGGTTAGTCTTTTTTGTTTAGAGCTGCCTAACTTATAAAAATATGTCCATATACCTACCACTTCATTGATATTCAACATATTTTTAACATTGTCAGTACTTATTAAACAGTTCTAAACAAAAAAGACTAACAGATTTAATGCAGTAAACTTAAAGGACTCAATTAAAAAACCATACAAACTTGATTTAAACCTCAAGAAAACTATATAGTCGAGGGGATTAATTTTTCCTTATTTTTAATAATTTTACTTTTATCATATTACATATTTGCTCTTCCAATTATCATTAATTATAAAATTAA